ACCGCTGCCACGTTAAGTCCGCATCGCGATCGGTCAGTATTTTGACCTCCGCCTTCGTCCGTTGAAGCATCGCGATATTGATTTGGGTGTCAAAGGGCGCGCAGCCGTACAACCCTGCACCGTCGATCTTCTGCGCAACAACCTGTTATTCACGACATGCAGGGTGACTGCAAAGAATGCGGGTATTCGAAAAGCGCAAACGCACACAAGGATAGTTTCCATTCTGTTTCCTTGCATCAACTACTGCTTCTAGCAAGTCAGCGAGTACGCCTACGCCGTCGGACACTAGAACCTCGCCGATCTCTGAATAATCATCATCCCACCACCTACCCCGCGGTGCCCCAGACGGGATCATACAGCCCCGAACCATTGGATCATCCGGTGCTCGTCACTCGCTTGAGCCATAAACAGACTCGCCCTTCCATGAATTGATATTCCATCCTCCATTAGTAGTCCTTCAATCAAGCCAATCTTTCAGCTACCGGTCAGGCTGCCTGCCGATGCAACCCTACCTACGCGTCTGCGGCGTAACCATATCGATATGAGCCAACTGAAATAACTTTGAGAGCGCAGCCAACTAGACTGCTCGCACGCAGCGAGTTTACTTCGCAAGCGTGAGGAGCAGCAGGGCGAGAGATGTGACGCAAGTAGGTCTCAAGCAATCCTACGTGCGACAGCAACTTGCCTGATGCGGAAGCATGTTGCGAAGCCTGCGCCTCGTGGGATTCAGCCTCTAGTGGGGCTGCGCGACTCTGCCAGTGACGCATTCCACATACCATGGATAACTCGAATTTGAAATGATACAAAAGTCTCCACATGCACTACAACTGCACATCTGGGAGTAGTTCAAGAAGCATGCGGATCACTCGGTACGCAAACCGCGCCACGACGCCTCACGACAGCTTCAACGGAGCGCAATTCGCTGCTCGGCATACCGGATGCGATCTAGTCATCCCACGATAACAAGCGCAGAGCGGGCTCTCGGTGACCGGTTTTTCGTCACGTGCAGAGCGCGAGATGCCACGGCACGGAGTCAACTCCGGCGCGGCTGTGTGGAAAGCACCATGAGAGGCTGGTGTGAAACGGACAGTGGCACAAGCATCCTTCACGGGTTCAACCGTGTCTCGTCTGTTGCTCTCGTCTGCAATGCTATTCCGGGACCCATACCAGCAGGCAGCCATTCGGCAAGGCCACCAGCTACGCCTGAGCCTTTTTGCATACGATAATTACAAGCGCAGAGTTTGTGTCGCCCCGTCACGCTCTGCGACACGTATCGTTGTTCGCAGAACATACCTTCAGGTTGGCCGTTGAAACGTCCGCGCCACTTAGTCGCGTACAGGGCAGGCGTCGCACTGTCTCGCATACCATACTCGGGTTCGTGCACCGCCCACGAGGATCGTTACGAAAGGTATGCCTCCCTCGACCTTTGTCAGCAAGCGCATGGCTCGCTTGACGTGACTGTTCCGCAGAAACTGTCTAATGCCAGAGCTTTGACACCTGGGCAGGATGTTTTAGCGCCGGTAACTATCGCAAGCCGCTAAGCACTTTGTCCATCCTTTGGGCGGTCCCCAACGGTCGTTCTGTCGGTAATAACGCCCTTCTAACTCCACCGCCGTTGATCTTGGATTCGAGCGATTAAGTTTGATTTGCGAATCGAATATCGTACAACGCTCCGTAGCGTTGACACAGACCCCGATGCCGAAGAATTCCAAGGACCATCGACAAGACAGCCCCAACTAGTACCTGTCGATTCAGCCTTGCGTTCAATTCGCAACTAGTTGCCCAGCGGATTTCACATGTAAACGAACCAACGAATAACGTTCCATTAGCGGCAAAGAGGCGAGTACGAAGCCGCCTAAACGCTTTCAGGATAATGCAGAGAAGAAGGATTGACCGCAACGCTTTCCTAAAGGGGTAAAGTTTCAAAATTCCCGTGCGAGCCCGAAGCAAAGGGTCTCGGCGATTTGTGACACCTCTCGCACTTCGCTGCTGCCCGGAGGACGGGTTGAGACGGTCTTTTACATCCGAGCACGAGACGATTCCTCCGTCACACTGTATTTGCAGCGGAAGTATAGGGTTCCAGGAGCATGATCCTTCCTGTGAAGGGGCCATGCATGGAGAGGATTTGCAATCAAATCAAATCACGTCATATCTTGCTCACGTTACTGTCCTGGTGAACAGTTGTATCTGATACCCCGGATTTCCCACGTTGTATATGTCAGCACCCAATTCTCCAGGGTCAACTCCACCGGCGGTTGCTCGCGCAAGGGCTTACTGATCTGACAACCGTTCGCGCGCTGTAGGGCTGAAGGAGAATTTACCCTCCACGCGGGGTGTAAGAAGTAGGCGTCTGACATGTATTCCACACCGTCTTCGTCGCATTCATCCTCATGCTGCTACACCGTCATCTCGAAAGCAGAAAGACGACGCGTCGCATCGCGTCATGAGCGCCCTCTCCTCGCCCGTCCGGTGCGGCGGCGGAAGCTTCGGAAACCCGTGCCCACGATGCCATCCTTGTCCAGACCTTCAGATTGACAAAGAGCGCACGCGGCCAAACCCCCTGCCCCAGCTTCCGCGAACCCCCTATAGCACAACAAACCTGACGACGATATGTCGTGAGTCGGCCCAATGTAAAAACCCGTATCCCGCCTTCGTACTAATCCGTACAGTATTGCGAAGCGGAACAAAGAAATCCGTGTTACCAGTATTCCCGTTTTCTGGTAAATGAGGTGTATCCGTCCAGCGATGCGCCCAGCCCGATGAAAGCGAAAATCCATGTGCCGTTGAGCCCTGCAGCGTCCGGCATTTTCCATTCGACAGGTATTCGTGCGCATCACTTCCACGATCATGTTGGTGAGTCGAGTCAGGGACTTGAAGGTGAGGGAGAGCCGAGCCAGACCACCTGGGCAGGACAGAACCAGATCCTAGCCACGGTCACCCATGCATCGCGACATTCGCCCCGAATACACAGTTCTCGCACCGATTAAACCACCACCAAAGCACCAACTGCCAACGTAGTCCTGCGCACACCGTTCAGAAAGTCCGGCAGATGATTGTTGGTCCTTTTCCCTTTTTTCCACACCGGACGCGTAACAGGTTGAGTACCGAGCGCTGGTGGGCGGCTATGTCGATCACACGCCCAGTGCATGCCACCTGTTTACTAAGTTTCTGGTCTGCCCTATCTAAGATGGGAATAGAACCGTTGGGCTGAATTTAACGATGATTACGATTCAACCTCAGATTTGGTTTCGATGACAGCGGGCGATTGTAGGGCTGAAAATGAGGGACTCGAGCATGGCGATCGATACAGTATTGCGCGCCCCCCTTCGTGTGGGGGCTGGGCTGCGAAAGGGGGTGGGGAGCAAGCGAACCGACCAACTGGAGAGTTTCTGGGGGAGATTTGTGGTGTTTTTGGCTGGATTCGGAGACTTTTCCTTACTGTTGGTAAATTGGCAGGTGCGTGGCGGTTAGGGAAGTTGGGTGCTAGCTTGACGACACCGTCTGTATGCGGTTGTCGCGTGAAGATCTGTGTGTATTATAGTTTTGTTGGAGGTGAGTTGGGGTAAAGTGTCGCATTGTTGTTTTGGGTCAAAGGGGAATGGTGCGCTTTAACGGCGATTGAAGGTTTGATCGAATCCGGGTTGACGTTTTCGCTTGTCGGCTCGCTTCAGTTGTCCCCTTCGTCTACCCTGGGACGACTGATCACGATCGCGTCTTGCTGAATCATGCTTCACTTATTCTAACGTTGTTCGTGGATGGAGCGCATGGTCTGCTTGTTCCAAAGTATGGTTTGAAGGGTAATTACGATGCGTTGGTCGAGTGCGACTCGTGGATTCAATGCGCCAGAGCTACCCAACGCCCAACGTCGCCTTACAGTTTGACAGCAAACTATCGAAGGTTACAACCTAGATTTCCGCTCCGGTAAATCTACCGACAGTCTAATGCTTCTATCTCTTCTCTGACAGGAGGTCCATCATGTAGGCCAAGGTAATTCCTGGCTGCCCACTTGCTTGTTTCGTGTTGGCTATCAAGCTGGACAGCCAAAGGCTATACATCAATGCTTGTGTATGTTAAGGCATCCCGGGAACCACAACAAGTGGCGCATTTAGGTCTCAGAGACACGTAGAACACAATCAGCACCAGGAGGACCCCTCTACGTAGCCCCATTCCCCAACCAAACTCACTTTCCATCTCAACAGCACAACAAGCCATCTTCACGGTCCAAGCATACACCTAATCAATTCCCTAAATCTTCCGTTCTATCTGATATAATGAAGCGAGCCAACTGTCGCATACCAGACCATAAACCAAATCTCCGGACTCGACCCTCTTCTCGGGACTCACGCAACAATGCACGCAAGTTCAACCCCATGCCACCTGATTGGCTCGATCACCTACCCTTTTAACCAACACATTAGCCATCGTTCCTTTCCACGTGTGTCACCCGCAACGTGGAACATGACGAATGTCGTGGGCGGAAAGATCATGGTATGTGGACCCTTACGCCCCAGCGTCTATGCAGCCACAATGGGGCTAGCTGCGCCTTGGACGTAGCGTACAGCCCTGAAGGTGTTTTTGAGATCAGCGTAATGAGCCCCATGGTGCAGCCATGGAGTGAATGTAGAATGCAGGCGATGCATGTCGAGAGGGCGACGATGATTGATGCCCGGTGGGGTCTTTTGTCGTTCAAAAGTGGATCGAAGATATGTAGTGACCGATCAACGCACTTACGTGGATGATGGCCAACTGGGATGGGGTCGCCTGTACTTGAGAACTTGGATTTCCTTGGTGGCCTGAATTAGTCACCAGTACCCCTCACACAAGGAAGAGGTTGAGTAGGTCTGCATCCAACACCGAGATGAAAACATGCAAAGTAGATAACTGAGCGTCAATGTAGGCCCTAGGAAGCGTTGAATTCACGATGTAGCACTCAATCAGGAGCAGAAAAGGCTCTTAGAACATACGATGCATTTGGTGTGAGGTCAGCCATAACAGAGAGACTATGACAATCGTACCCTCTTCTCTACTACAGCCTCCCAATCCTTCTTCGTGAATGGGAGATACCGATCACTACCCTCCGGTAGCCAGTACAGCCTATCCTCTCCAGTGATCTTATCCGGATCAACACCCTCCTTCTTCAACCTACCCTTTTGAATCTTTAAAGTACCCGTATACTCTAATGCAGGCGTCACTCTTAGAAACAGCGGCACTGCATAACTCGGTAAGACCGCTTTCGCGTGCTTTGCCAGAGCTGCGAAGTCGAATGTTGACTCTGTGACTCCATCTGCCATAACGATAGATGCAGTCCCCGCTCGGCCGTCGTAGCCAGGCACAAGGACGCCGTATGCGTTCGTTTCAGCGATCTGTGGGAACTTTCCGAGCATGTCGGCTACTTCGTTTGTCGATACGTTTTCTGACTTCCAACGGAATGTATCACCTAGACGGTCGACGAAGAAGACGCGGCCGTCGGCATCTTGTCGCATCATGTCGCCGGACTTGAACCATCTACTATCATAAGCTTGCAGTCAACGAGCTTGAAAGGGTGACTTACATATCGCCCTTCTCGAACACATCCCTAATTCTCCTACTCTCTGTGGCGCCTTCGTTCTTGTAGTAGCCTGGCGAAGTAGCCACCGTCTCCGGTGTTAATCTATGCAGCACTTGGCCCGGCTCGTTCACTCCACATCTGATTGCAAAGCCGTTTGCATCTCTCATGATCTCTTCCGTATCAACATCCATCTTCACCCTCACTTCCTGGTCGCCGAACCGCCAATTCCAGATCAGCCCTCGGAGACCAATGCTATTCGCCGTGAAGGGACCAGCGTTACGATTGAATGTCGCCCCTAATCCATCGGTAGCCGCGTATAATTCGTTGATAATGGGTATGTTGAAACGCTCGCGAAAGGGTTCCCATACGTCAGGGCGCATGCCGTTGCCCCATGCCATCTTTACTTTGTGTTTCCGCTCGAATGCATTCGTCGGGCCGTTGAGTAGATACCTGCAGAGCTCGCCGACATACTGAATGATATCCGCATCTGAAGCTGCGACTTCAGGCCAGAAGGTCTTGTGCGAAAACCTCCGGCTCAATACGACTGTACCGCCAGCATGAACCATCGGTGTAACGCAAAGGCCATGCGCAGCCCCGTGATAGAGAGGCATGCATGTGTACATTCTAGATGCCGGGTTCAGTTCGAGATATTTGGCGGCGCTGTAGCCAGTCAAGAGCTCGCGACCAGTGCTCAAAGTCACACCTTTAGGCAGTCCGGTCGTTCCGGAAGTATACAGCAGCGAGCGGAGGGACTCTACAGTAATGTGTTCGCGACGCGAGTCTGGTATAAGAGTCGGGTTCGGTAGCGACGCGAAGAACGAGGGATTGTAGTACTGGATCTTAATGCCGGTCTCCTCGAGATCCGTACGGCATGGCTCGACATTGCTCTTGACATCGGCGTCTGCGATGAGGAATCTGCAGTTGCATAGCTATTACAGAAGTCAGCCAGTGTCTATCCGCCCAGTTCCAGGAATACTTGCCCTTGCGCAATGCACCAATCCTGTCCCAGTGAGGTTCCAGTTGACGAAGCTCGGAACAGCTCCAATCCCATCGAGAGCAAACCAGAGCATCAGATACTCCGGGCTGTTCCCGCCATCCACAGCAACCACCTCATCAGCTTGTATGCCCAGGTCCTCTATCAACCAATTCCCCACCCTGGTGAATGCATCAAAGAACTCCTTGTATGACCAGGTTTTGCCTTCGAAGATAAGAAATAGATGATTTGGCTGGTTGCGGACCTGGTCTTCGAAAGCGTGGTACGTGAGAGCACGTTTGCGAGTTGCACGGTCGGTGATGAAGTCGAGGACATCTTGTGTCGGCGAGAGAGCACCGCGTTTACGCCTGAGGTCATGGGCAATGTGATATTTCGCGTTGAGGTAGGCTGCTAGGGCTGCTGTGCCTGCTGCTCCGGCGATTATGGGTACTTGAAGATAGTCAACATCCGAGAATACCACGAGAGGATAGAGGTAGATGCTTACATGCCATAGTAACGACCGCTTTCCACTTATCGTCCGGTTCCAGAGGTGTTCATAAAAGATACAACGACCGATCCGTCTCTTTAACCCCAATCAACCGGGTGTACCAAAGACAATGCGCGAGAACAGGTAATGTGATTCATCGCAAAAGCTTCCTTTCGCAGGGAGTCGGGGAAAGCTAGGTGCACCGAGGTTGTTGTTGTCGCAGAGACGCGACTCAGGGACCGTCGACTTCCCCGCATTCTACCGGGTAGCTTATTTCCGGGCATCCGCTACAGGGAACCCCAGGGCTTTGCTACCATATCATCTGCAGTCTCTTTCTAAGTCGAACAGTCAGACATGTCTTACGATCATTCAATCCAATACTCTGCAGTTTTATGATCTTGAGGATCTCTCTAGACCCGTTGTTGATAACATGCTCTGCGGTTACCGCACAGGAATGTTGTCTAGAGTGTATGAACGCGCCCATCGTCCACGAACAAGAAGGTTAGGGCAATGGGCATTTCTGGAGCCTGTGTCGCATCATGCGGTTGCTGCATACATAGTGGTATATTTGATCAAGTAGGTAGTATAGAAGATGATGTATACTTCTACTCAATTGTTTTTGTAGCATGGAACGTATTGTTACCTCTCCCAATGAGGGGGTCTCACGTCTTTTGATCCTCTTAATCACTATCATACTGCATCTTGCATCGCGCGGCAATATACCGCCGGTTTCTAACTCCCATACAAACAGCATCTCATCCTGCCCCCTTCATTCCATCTTGTTCATCTCTCCAAGATATCTACTTCCTCTCCTTCCAAGTGTGAAAGCCATTCCCCTACTATAGCGTCTAGCTTCCTTACGTCCTCCCCATCCTCATCAGCCACAATCTCATCATCTTCAATCTCAAATCCATGACACCGAAGCCACAGGGGAAGCTCCTCCGCCCCCTGCATGCGATACAATGTCATCTTTCGCCCGTCCCAAGATTTAGACCGAAGGGTGATTGAATGCCTCCAGTATCCATATCCTCTCAACACCTTCAAGAGACATACATATACCGTCTCGCAAACGTGTTGTTCTCTAACCCAGTCTTGCGTACCAGCCCAGGAACCGCTGTTTGGATCATACAGTGCCGCTTCTGCTTCATCAATAGCTTCAGGTGTGTTCTTCTTATTGCGATCAAAATTCCAGTGCTGTATCGCTGAGCGAAAATCGTCGTTTGTCCAGTCTTTCGGTTTGGGAAAGCTTGTTGGATTCCAGTTCTGAGCGAATTGTTTCGCGTTCTTATGTTCGTCTTTGAGGCTTTCATCTTCTTCTTGTTTGGGTGATGAAGGAAGGGCACATACGCATCCAGACCGATGGCGTATGTAGCTCTGCCGATAGTACGGAGCTGGCTCAGATCTGGTAGGCTGACCCGTTGTAGCTGGTGCAGTGGCTGCTCTTTTGTGGTGCGCATACAGCTGCTCGTGGTACGGCTTAGCCGTAAATTGAGCTGGAAAGACAGTCATCTCATCGGTTGGCTGTTTGTTATCGAAAGGCATCGTCAGGTACAACTTCTTTGTATCGTGTTGATGGGTAACTTTTAGATCTTTTGCTTTGGGGTTGAAGTGTTGTAAGTTGAACTGTGGCTTCTAATATTCAAAGGCCCGCTTTATATATGCGCAGCTTTGCTTCTGTGTTACTCAAATAATTCGCTTACTTCTCTGGTTGTCTGGACTCTGGATATGTGCGGTAGCGAACCATGGTCGAATACCAGAGACTGCGTGAGCCCTCAAGTCCAGCTCGCCCTCATTCAATCAGAGTCATGAGTATTACTTCAGCGTTTACCTCACTGGTGGCTCGACTTTTACACTGATATTAAACATGATTCAGACACGCCTTACATTTATCATTCAAGTCCGCCGTCTCATCGCAGGACAATCGACCGTGGCTCTGAATAGTCCTCCGCTTCCGGGTACCACTCTTTCGACTGCGATCACAACGTTAGCAACCTTATTGCTATTCCTTTTGCCACCACTGCTGTACTTACTTCCTTCATCACCCCAGATTTTACTCTCTTAATCACCACCAGTCCAACCCTCACATACTCGCCCCGCTCTTTATCCGTACTAATGATTGCCACACCCAAAGCCGGCGCAACGATCAGAACCTCACAAGCCTCATATGCCTCGACATCGAAAAGAACGCGCGCATCATGGTAGCTTTGATCGCGCATTTGCACCCCACACGACCGATACGGACTTTTCCCTGTCGCTGCATCTTTCCCGATAGCAGTAACGTCGGTCACCGATCCACTGATCCTCGCCCACCCATCTTTCAACTCACCAAGCGGATTAAGTCCTTTAGGCACGACCCTGCATTCTTCAAGAAACGCACAGAAGCCTCGCAGCGAAGTATTCATACCTGTAGTAAGATCACCTAATCCGTAATCCACAGGTCCTTCCCCAGACATGAACGACCAAGACGGTGCCGTCCAAACGTCAGACCGTTTAAAAGGCGCAACATCATGCCTAGGTACCCACAGGAGCCACTTGGCGAAATTCCGCTTCCACAGTCCCGCAGCGCAGACGTCGCCAGTCATACGCTGCAAGACTGTCATGACGCCTGATATGGCAGGGAATTTGTCTTTGGGGTATGTTATCCCGCGGGCGGTGTAGTCGCGGACAAGTTGGAACCATGCGTCTAGGCCGATGGCGGCACCGATGGGGAGGTTGATGCTGTAGACTACGGCGTCGAGGGTGTAGAGGTGTGTCCAGCCTCGCCTTTGCTCTTCATGCGAGATGCCGTCGGGACAGCGCCAGAACATGTTGGCGCTGCCGAAATGAAGGGAGCGGGATGGTAGGAGTTGTTCTTGGAGGACCCAGGCTCGTGTTTCGAGGGGATCGCTTGGTAGTGCCTGGGTTTTGTTATCAAGGAGACGACGGCGTCTCGGGGGATGGAGCCTACGTAGTTGCGGGTCTGTTGAGCGACGAGATATACTTCTAGATCACCTTCGCTATCGTGGATTTCAATACGTTCAGTCATTGGCATCTTCCGTGGTCCTAGGAAGCCTGCTCCGCAATGTGAAGCGTTGGATGCAGCAATGTTAATGTATGATCCTGAGTAGATGTCGGCCATGACAGCCGATTCTTTTTCCCAGTCTGCTGTGTCATCTTGTACTGAGAGCGAGAGTATAAGCATTAGCATATGTACTGTATACAGAGGAGTCGGTTCATACCAATTGCCAGGCAGTCAATCCATACGTACCGTAGACCAAGGAACCGCACCACCATAGCAGCATCTTGAAGCGTCTTAGGAAGATCTTGAAAGCCGATGCTGCTCTTTCGCATTGAAAGCGTCTCTGTGGTAGTCATGAACGGCAACCCATTTCCCCAACAATAGCTCAGCGTTGCGTACTTCCCTTTCTGATCAGCGGTCGTTTCGACTAGCTTACATTTGGATTGAGAAAACAGTTCTGGCCACCGCTTCATGTTTTCGGCTAGAGCGTCGGAACTGGGCATGTCATCGAGATCCAGCACTCTTGTAGGCAACAACGAATCTTGCTGGATCGCAGAACATCTCTCATGCCGGGCGTTGCATTTATCAAACCAAGCCCTAAATTGCTTCACTGGCGTTGGGTCAAGCGAGTCTTCTAATTTTACTGGCTTGAATGAGTTCGGAGATGGGGTATCTTGTCTTGGATTAGCGTTCTCGCAATGGGTCAGCAACAAGATCCTATCCAAACATACCAAATCTATTCCGAAACTCCACAGCAGTAGCTTCAGGCATGTCCTTGTCTAAATAAAGATCAAGTTTGGTGCCGTATGTTTCAGATTCGGATAGATGAAGCCATGCTAGAGCGACTTCCATATCTACTTCTTGTGCGACTCGTTCGTAAACCGGCCGTGTTTCCAGATCCCGCATGAGCATGCTGCAAATTACACATTGCAAAGCGCTTCTTCTCAATAGTGGTAAGGTGGTTTGGCGTCTATCGCATATCCATGTCTCGTTGTCGTGGCCCCAGGGTATATCATTTTCGTCGGTCCAAGAGCTCTTTTTCCAGCCTGGGGGATGGTCGCCACGGGCGAGCGCGCGGAAGGGTATGGAGCTACAAGTAGTGCAGAGTGACATAACCAGTGTATATAAAATAATCAGAGTAGAATGGCAATGGTGAGATGTGGTGTGAAATGTCAAGTGTGATGGGTGGGACGTACCTGCCTACTTACAGTCAGCCTGCAGGTGCTCTAGCCTCACGTGTCTTAGTACATAGGACTGCTCCCCACAACCAACTTTGCCTTTCTAGGAACACTCGTCATGGAGTACTGTGATTTCGTGCCATAGCATTGATTTCTCTCATATTTTATCTATCCATCGTCATCAATCTCATCACCACCACCAATCAATCCACCACCTAATACCCAACCCCACCCCCCTCAGTCGGCAAATCAAACCACGCGTAATTCCCACCCGTACAAGTCTCCCTCAAATACGCCCACGCCTTCGGCCTCTGCCTCCCTTCCAACCCCGGATCCAGTCTAAGCGCCATCTTATACGCCGCCGTCTGCCCGCTACTATCAACCGGATCAACGTAATCAGGGATATCGCCAAAGTCCTTCTTCTGCAGCCGCTGTTCCCACGTAATGCCGACAGTGCCGCCATCGACAAAGGCAAAAGGAGTGTTGTCGACGTAGTGCAGTTGGATGCCGAGGCCGTACATGACGGTTGGGAACCATTTGTAGGCGGGGTAGGCGATGAAGTTTGGGACGGAGGAGACGGGGACGACGAGTTTGGAGTGAAAAGGTGGGGCGGTGGTGGCGGTGGTGGCGGAGGTGGCTTTGCCTTTGCCTTTGCCTTCGTACTGGGGCTTGGTCTGGTTGTCGAGGCGGGAGGTGAGTTTCATGAGTGTGATGAGGGTGTTGAGTTCGGGGCAGCCGCCGTAGAGGTACTGGGGATGTTTCTTCAGCGACGAGATGTGCTGGCCAACGGGACCGGTCAGCTGCTTCTCGTAGACGTCTGCTTCCTTGATGTACTGGTTCATGCGACGTAGAATGCTGGGAGACATGCTCTCCTTGCGGTTATCGATCTGGAACCGGACGTGGCGGACCATGTGGAAACGGCCCAGATACGCGAGACGGTCGAAGTAAGTCGAGGTGTCATAACCGATGGAGAAGGTGTTTGTGGAGTAGAACATGGGAAGTGATTCCTCTCGGACTTGCTTGCTGACGCGAGTGATACCGAGGAGATCGCTGGTCGCGAAGTGATGCTCTGCATTATCATCGTGGAACTGAACGACCTGATCGTCGGTATAGTCGCACAGATGAGGCCTGATGGGTCGGTCTGTATCGAGTGCGAGCGCATAGATGCGCTGACGTAGCTCCACAGAAAGCTCCATGAACTTGTGGAACTTTGGCTTCAACATCTTGCACCTGCCGGTGGTATGACGTTCGGAGTGACACTGGTGACAGAGTGTGCAGTTCATGTTGCGGATACCCTTTTCTGCCATGCAAGTGAGGCAGTGAGTGGGCGTGCGATATGTAGGCAGACGGGGTCGCACCGGAACGTTGGAGGTGATAGTAGGTGGTTTTGTCGCGCGTCTTGCCTTGGGCTTTGATGGTCCTGGAGTGGGATCATTGACTGGTGGAGCTGGCGGAAGGATTGGGTTGAAGGAAGGTACACGGAGAGAAGCCGCAAGATTCTCGTCGTCTTCGTCTCCCAGTGCTCGAATATTGCCTTCAGAACGCGGTGCGCGTAGACGACGACGTGTATAGGCGGTGGATGCCTGGAAGTCACTCGAGCCAGTAACCGATCCCGTCGAAAGAGGAGCGTGGTTCGAATATGCTGCTTCGCGAAGAGCGTGCATGTACGAATCGGCTGCACAAGTTAGCTATGAGTCCTCACCAGAAAATTAATAGGGTCCTCTTACCTTGGTTCCTCCAGTAAGTCTCCGCTTGCTGACCCATCGATTGCCCTGACTCACCAGACGTCGGTCCACCAGTACCAAATCCCGAGTCTGCTTCGATCGCTTTCTGAAAGTCCTCATCATATTTATAATCGAAGTATTCCTGGCCACAGCGGTCGCACAGAGTCCGCTCATCTCCATCCTCACGAGGGTCAGGCTTCAGGCAGCAAGACATGGGCGGCAGAACGAGATTTCCATTGACCACCAGGTCAGTAGGAGGAAGGAGTGGAGCCAGAGCTGGTTGCGCGGGTTGGTGAAAAAAGTTCTGCGCGTACACCGCACCACACCCAACGCAGACCCAGTCACCGTCGTCCATGGTCCAGTGCTTAGAATCTGGACAGCATTTCGGCGCATCACCTATGATGGGATGTGGGCGGCCAGCTTTCTGGTTGACCTCGAAGCCCTTTTGAGTTGGGCGAATGTCGGCGCCAGACTCCTTCATGGCCAAAGCTAGGTGTAAGGCTTCGGGGCTGCAATCGTTCGGCCAGAAGTCACTCCAAAAGTTATCGTTCGCTTCGTAGTCGTCGTCGTTCATTGTCGGCGGCTGGTAGCTGGGTGATTGTGCAAAGCTTGAGAAGTGAGAGAGCAGGTTATTTAAGTGATATTTGAAAAAGTGAACGCGGTGAGTGGGCGATTATATGAGAGCGAGCAAGAGAAGCCTAAGAGTTTCCACGCCGCAGACGAGGAAGTGAAAGCACGCATGTGACCACACTGTGATAAGTCAGGAGTCCGTGAATCAGATGAATCGGGGAAACGCACATGCATACGACAAATCAATCTTTCTTCATTGGTAGATTTTCGAATCACTGTCTTTACCACTTCTTGCCTCCCTCATCACTGAAATCACGTCCCTGGCGTTCCTGTTCTAACCTAGCGTCAAACTCTTGCTGCGCGCGCTGCCTCTCCCTGGCCCTCTCCTCATCACCCGCAACAAACGTATACGAATCTCCAAGCGTGGACCCTTCCCTTTGCTCCCTGCGCTCTGGCTCCGCTCTGCGCGATTGTTGCTGCTGTGGCCTTTGAAGTGGCGCTGCTGCTCCTCCTCCGGTGCGCCTTAGACGATCCCATGACGATTCACCAGGTCTTGCTTGAGATTGGGATTGGGGTTGTTGTGGGTTGTTGACTTCGTCTTGGAAGAGGCCGCCAGTGGGGGAAGCGTCGTCATCGAATGGAAGAGATGAGGGCGGTGCTTGCTGGCGTTGTGGAGCTGGTTGTGATGTGTCGTTTGAGAACGTCTCCCATGTGTCTGATCCGGCGGTTCTGGTACCCCACGATTCGTTTCCAGCGGTCGGGCTCATGTCGTCGCCTCCATCAGCGTTCCCTTGAGGCTGCTTACCCCAGCTAGCCTGTGGTGACGGGCCACCTCCTGCCTTGTTCCTGACCTGCTCCTGGAATTGTCGTCGCCTGTCCTCGATCTCACGTCCTTGTTGTGCGGTCCTCTGTCCCTCAGCATGCGATGAAGCCTTCAACTCCTGCCCAAACTGCTCCAGCTTCGGATCATTCGAGGTATTCACCGCAGCCAGAGGTTGCGCGAGGAGTTGACCAATGATGTTGCCCATCTGTCCTGCCACCAAAACGTACAAACTGAATCGCCATGTGTGTCGTGCAAACATCGCCATGTTGCCCTTGATCGGACCAAACTTATTCCGGTCAATGTCCTCCACCTTTGGCTGATAGAAGGGATACTTCATTTTATCCATAGTCCTCCACCATTGGTACGTTCCTGCAGCTGCACCCGTGGCGGCGAAATAGCTTTTTGTTTGCTCAAGCTGGTATATGTGGAATGCGAGCGCCTGCGCTTCTTCGGGGTTCAATTGACGGCCGACCTTGCGCTCGGCGAATTTGAGGGTAGTTTCGGTCTTGAAGCGGACAGCGCGGTCGGAGAAGCCCATGAAGGTGCCTATGATCGGTAATGGCTGGGGCAGGACGCTCGCGTCGAAGCGAGCGCCTGAGGAGGGCGGCGACGCGGAAGCATACGGGTCGTCCGAGGAGGGGTACGGGTTATCTGTGAAGCCTTCCGGGGCTGTATTGTCGACGTCCTGGAGCACCATGTTGGTATGTGTGGAATTGGGTCGTGATGGTGTGTGGTCGTAGGAAATGGTGCGTGGTGTGATGAAGAGACATCGGAGCTTAGCTCAAGCGTTGATGACGGCATCGAACACAACCTCGGGATCAGGGTCCACCTGGCAGCTGCGAACACCTTAACACGATACCATCGCCCAACTAGCGTCTCGCATCGCGACAATCAACGCTTGTCACCTCCGTCTATTCCAATTACTTCACATAAGAAAGATTTGTCACAAGATTCAATACGGTCTATTCCCATGTTCCCCTGACCCAGCGATACTCCCTCGGCAGAAAATGTACGTACTTATACAAAAGATAAAGAAAATGACCACTCCAAGTTCGACCAAACTACTGCGAACCCCATATGCTCGCAAGGAAGCAGAAACTAGACTGTGTTGAGTGAGGAAAGTACCCAACTTCGCTTCACAAAACGCCGCGACCCAAAGCCGCCAGCAACGGCCAATTATGATAACCAGAAACACCCTCGAAGGGTAC